TCTTTTGTTTTGTTCCTAATCTTTAGAGGAACTACTTGTAACTTTTCACCATTGACTATGATGTAAGCTGTCATATACAGCTTTCATTGTGTTAAGGTACATTACTTGTATGATTCCTTCAAATTTTTTTTTCACAAAGGAGTGAATTTTCTAAAATGCTTTCTCTACATCTGTGCATATGGCTTTTTATCATTCATTCTACTAATGTGGTATTATCACATTTATTGGTTTACATGGTTGAACCATTATTTCATCCAGGGATGATCTTTGTATATTCACTTGATCATGATGTATGATATTTTTAATGTGCTGTTGAATTCAGTTTGCTAGTATTTTGTTGAGAATTTTTGTATAAATATCTAATAGTTATAACTTTCTATTTTAAGCTGTTAATTTTGATCGGATAAAAAATATCAACACTTCTACTTTTCCTCCCTTCATATTTTAGATGATTTGCTACAATTTGTATTTTTATATTGTATATCTAATATCAATTGATGACATTGGTCTATAATTGTCTTTTCTTGTAGCATCCTTATCCGATGTTAGTATCAGTATAATGCTGGCTTTGTAAATTAAGTTTGGAAGTATTACTCCTCTTCAATACTTTGGAAGAGTTTGAGAAAGACTGGTATCCATTTTTTCTAAATGTTTGGCAGTTTGCTAGGGAATCCATATGGTCCTGGGATTTCCTTTCTTGGGAAGATTTTGATTACTGATTCAGTTGCTTTAATTTGCTGTTGTCTGTTCAGATTGTTATTTCTTCATGATTCAGTCTTGGTAGGCGGAATGTTATTAGGAGTTTCCAGTTCTTCTAGTTATTTAATTTCTTGGCATGTATTGTTCACAGTATTCTCTTATGATTCTTTGTATTTTTTCTTGTATCAATTATAGTATTATTTCATTTTTCCATGTAATTTCATTTATTTTAGTCTTCTTTTTCTTGATTAACCTCACTAAAGATATATGTTTTCTTTTTAAAAATCAACGCTCATTTCATTAATCTTTTGTAATACTTCTTAATACTTTATCTATCTGATTTACTTCTTCTCTAAGCTTTATAATTTCCTTCTTTCTGACAGTTCTGCACTTAGTTCTTCATTTTCTGGCTCTTTGAAATAAAGTTAGGTTATTTATTTAATAATTTTCACTTAATGTAGGTGTTTTTAATCTTTATAAAGCTTTTGCTGCATTCCTTATATTTGGTATGTTGTGTTTCTATTTTCTTTTGCCTCAATTTATCATTTCCCTTTTGATTTCTTCTTTGAATGAAATTGTTCAGGTGTGTATATTTAATTTGTAGATGAGTGAATTTTCCAGTTTTCCTCCTGTTATTGATTTGTAGTTTCATACTATTGTGGTCAGAAAAGAAAAGTGATATGATTTCAATCTTCCTAAGATCTCTTTTGTGGCTTAACATCCAAACTATCTTGGAGAAAATTCTACATTCACTTGAGGAGAATGTGTACTCTCCTGCTTTGGGCTGTTAGGACCATGTGATCTATAGTGTTGTTCAAATCTACTGTTTTGTTATAGTTTTTCTGTCAGGGTAGTGTCTCTATTTTTGAGAAGGGGGTACTAAACTACTCTGAATATTACTGTATTACTACTTATTTCCCCTTTCAGTTTTGACAGTGACAGTATTTATATTTTAAGTGTTCCAGACTTTGGTGCATATTTATAATTATTATATCTTCTTGATGAATTGATCCCTCTACCATGATATGACCTTCATTTTCTCTTTTGACTGTGTATTACTTAAAGTTTACTTTGTCTGCTATACATATAGCCATGTGTGTTCTCTTTTGATCACCAATGTATGGACATCTTTTTCCATTCCTTCACTTTCAGCATATGTGTCTTTTTAAACCTAAAGGGAGTGTTTTATAGGAAGCACATTGCCAGATCTTAATTTTTATTCACTCAGTCACTTAATATCTTTCGATTGAGAAGTTTAGTCTATTTACACTTAAAGTTATTATCAACATGTAAAAACTACTATTTCCATTTTGTTGTGGTTTTTATGACTGTAGTTTTTTCATTCTTTCTTCCTCTCTTGTTGTCTGTCTTTATAATTTGATAACTTTGTTGTTACATGCTTTGATTACGTTCTTTTAATCATTTGTATGTCTAGTTCAGATTTTTCCTTTGTCAACACCATGAGGCTTACATAAAATATCTAATAGTTTATAACTTTCTATTTTAAGCTGTTAATTTTGATCGGATACAAAATATCAACACGTCTACTTTTCCTCCCTTCATATTTTAGATGATTTGCTACAATTTGTATTTTTATATTGTATATCTAATATCAAATTATTGTCATGACAGGTTTTTAATAATTTTTAAAAACATGTAAGACTTAACAGTGCTCTTTGTAACACTATTACAATAGTAGAGAATTTTGACTCAGAACCTAGGTTTAGTTTTACTAATTAGAGTTCTTTTGTTTAGCCTGAAGAACTCTCTTCAGAGTTCTTTGGAAGGCATGTCTAGTGGCCATAAAAACTCTCCACTTTTGTTTGGTAAAATGTTTCTCTCTCCCTCAGCTTTGTTGGCTAGAACATTCTTGATTGGCAGCTGATTTTTTTTAATATTTGAAATATATCATCCCATGTTCTCCTGAATTACAAAGTTTCTGCTGAGAAATCCTCTGGTAGTCTTTTGGGGCTCCCTTTCTTATCATTGCTCCCTTAAATGTGGTGAGTTACTTTATTTCTAGATTCTTTCAAAATTTTCTCTTTGTTCTTGAATTTTCACAATTTAATTATAAGTTTCCTATTGTAGACTTCATGTTTAATATTCTGGGGACTTCTGGATCTCGTGAAACTGCATGTCACTTTCTCCAAATTTTGAGTTTTTTGTCATTATTTCTTTGAATAGACTTTATATCACTTTTTCTCTCTCTTTCCTTTCTAAAATGCCTACAATGTATATATTGTTTCGTGTAATGGTTTCTTATAAGTCCTATGGTTTTCTTCACTATTTTTCATTGTTTTCTCTTTGCTCCTGACTGAATAATTTTAAATGATACACCTCTGATTTTACTGAATCTCATTTATGCTTGATCAAGTTTGCTATTGAAATTCCCTATTGAATTTTTCAGTTCAGTCTCAGTATTTTTTATCTCTAGGATTCTATTTTTACAAATTGTTTGCTATTTCCTTGCTGAACTTCACATTTTGCTGATGAATTGTTTTTCTAATTTCATCTAGTTATTACTCAACTTCTTTAAGAGGACTATGTATGAATTGTTATTTGGTTGATAGATCTCCATTTCCTTAGGGTGAGTCATTGAAGTTTACTAAATTTCTTCAATGGCATCATTTTATCCTAATTCTTCTCAATCATATTTCCTTACATCAGTGTCCTCACATTTTACAGAGTAGACACTGCTTCAAAACTTACAAATTGGTTTTGGCAGAAAGAGGCCTTTATCAGTTAGTCCAACTTTTAGGTCTAGATTGGCCAGCAGGCACCCATGAATAGGCAGTGCTCATTGTCAGGTTCTCTATTTGGGCAGGTGTGCTGCCCACACTCTGAGGTTAGGAGGAGCTGCTGTCTGGGATGCAGTCAGGCTGAGTTGCTGTCTGGGCTCCATGACTGGCCCTAGTTAGGCAGGCTCACAAGCTACACTCCTAGGCCATGGTATGCTAAAAGTTAAAATGTGTAATTGGAGAGGGCTGCAGGCTAATCTCCAAATTTGAACCTTGTTTGGGTAGTGGTCAAGGGATTTTGCTAACTGAAATCCACGTTCAGGTAGGGCTACATTGAGCCCTATGATCAGGAAGAGCCACAAGTTGTACCGGGTGGTTGGGTGGAGTCACTGGGTGTGTTCCTGCCTGGATGGAGTTGCTGGCTTTAATTTATTCATGTTTAGTCAGGGTTGCTACCAATCACCCTGGTTAGGGTGGCCACAGGTTTTGTTCCTTATTTGAGTGGGGCTGAGCACTATGATCATGTGGTCTCACTGGTTGTGTTCTGTGGTTTGGGAAGGTTGATGGCTGGGCTCTTTGCTCAAGTTTGGACTAAGTTGTGCTAAAAAAATGAGCAAGACTCTGGGATGGGCTGCACAGGCATGTAGTATGTCTAGCTGGGCTCCCTGGTTGGTTGAAGCCCAGGCTATATGGTGTAGTTGAGCAAAAATACAAGCTTGGCCTTCTGCTAAGGTAGGACTTTATCAAATATCAAATTATAAAGAAAAATGCATTATGTACACATTTTAAGATTCCTATGAATTCCTCCCTGACTCCATTTTTGATTTATTTATTTATTTTGCAAATATTTTGATTTGAAAGTGAAGTTTTGGCTAAATTTCAAAGGTTGAAATTCTCACTATTCATTTTGAACCAGTTCATGAGCTCACTTATTATTTCTTCTAACTCTAAATCATACAGAGAAGTTTAGGATGTCTAAGTGGATAAATTTTGGCCACTTATTTTATTAAATCAAAGTTATGTCATATGTATAATAAATAGCCAAAATGACTTTTGCTTTTTGAACTTAGTAGCTTAAGATGCAAATGGCTTCTGTGCATATTCCAGATGGATTTGAAGAGTTACATTTTGTCTATTTGAACTATTGATTTCTGAGTACAGTAGATTAAATATACTATATCATAGTAAATATATCTATGGATTCACCAATTTCTTTTTATATTGGTATCAAGTTTTGTTTAACATATTTTTAGGGTCATAAGGATTTTTTTTGCATACTATGCATTATAATCACTATGAAATATATCCCCCCTTTTTTGTCCCTTCTAATGATTAAGAATGGTCCCAACATTAAAGACATTTTCAAAATAAGAATATTTTCTTAGATGTACATTTCTACTTATAGGTCACTCATTTATAATTTATAAATCTTTATAAATTATTGCAAACAACCAGAAGAGGTATTCACGAAACACAGAGTAAACTATTCCATTTTCATCTTATTATGTCTAGTATTCCAGCAGCATTTTTAAATTTAATTTTCTAATTTTCTAAAATTTAATTTTCTTAGTCTTTATCAGGGAGCTTTTTTGTCTGTGTTAGCTAGCTACTTACAATCCTGAGTTACATTAAATTATTGAGGAGTGATTGGACTTTTTTTAAGTAAGATTAGATTGTGAGAAGGTAAGAATTTGCTACTCAAATACTTTAGAGTCATCATTATCATCATCGTTTCCTGAAGAATTAATGTATTTAATAATTTTATTTTAATTATAAAGAAAATGGGTTTTGGATCATTGATCTAGATTAAGAGGCTGCAATTGGTGATGGTCTTTCTGCAGAATCCCAAGGTGGTGTATGGTCTTACATAGCAAGAGTTAGGGAGTACACAAGTATTATGTGTGTGTTTTTACAGCTTTTCAAACAGTTTTATTGTGATATAATAAGGTAATGTATCTTATTAAGAACCTTTCTCTGAAAAGATCTGTAATTTCCTTTTTTTAACATAATGATAAAAGAGTTAATTCAAGTTCAAGTATATCACAGAACTGTTTAGAAATCATAATTAAGAAACTAGATCTATGCCAAAGAATGAACAATTGTATATGTGAAAATAAAATTGTAATGCTCCATAAACGTTTATAATAAAGAAGCAAGATATTTATATGCCCAAAATATCAGACTAAATCTCATCAAAGCAAGTGTACATTGATAATGAAACCACTTATGCTTCTAGCTAAATATTGTTCTTTGGCTGTTATGTATTTTGTAGTTAACAAAAAAAGAAAAACATGGAGAAGATGGAGTTTGGCATATGACTATTACGTACAAGCACATTAAGTAGCCTATATATTAAGGCTGAGTCAAACTGAGCAAATACTTCTAGAGATTTCCCTAGTGTGTTTTATTCAGTTATTAGGAGAATTCAAAGCCTCAGATCTGCCACATATATCCAGCCCAGATGCTCAAAACACTTGATTTCACCCCAGGGCAACATTCTGTATTCAAGACTAGATCTAGAACAGATGGCTACACCACCTCTTCTATAATCTGGTTGTGCCCTATGAATAAATGAAAAGACTAAAGGGAACATACATTCCACAACAGGGCCAGAACAAACATTAGTACTATTAATACTACTAATAATATTTATTAAGTACTTTTGTGTATATGATACCCTAATAAGCTCTGTATAGAATGAGTTCTGATAATTATAATTGTTCTATGTAAGAACAATGTAAATTCATTAATATATTCATTAAGGAATGTGCACAGTTCTTGTTTTTGTAGAGTTTTCAATATGAGCATAGCTATGCGTACAGGACCATTCTTGAAGCAGATATAAGATAAATACCTCAAGAATTTAATAAGCCAATTTAAGTGCCCGTACTATGAAGAAAACAAATAGCAATACTCCTGGCCTCAAATTGGCTATAATCTACTTGAAACAAAAAGAAAAATATAAGAGTTTACATATGTTAATTTATGAGTTACACATAAAAATATTCAGAAAATAAATAAGAACAATCCTACTTTATTACAACTGCACTAATATAAAAATAATTAATAGTTAGTTCTTTTGCTATATTAGGCACTCTTCTCCTTGTTTATGATAACTTATTTAAATCCTAACCACAGGTATGTTCCATTATTACAATCATTTTATAGTTGGGGAAACTGGATGCAGATGATAAAGTCACTTGCCTGAGATCACACAGCTAGTAAGTGGCAGAGTTGAGTTCTATCCTCTTAAGCACAGAGTTAAAGGGGTTGTTCATGTAAGAGGAAGACACTGAGCTAAATCTGAAAGGAGAAAGCAAAGGGGGAGAGAGGGGAGGGCATTTTGAGTGTAAAGCAGAACTTGAGCAAAGGCGGAGAAATAAGTCCAATATGGGCAAAAGTTAGAGAGAAGTGGGGAAGATTAGATTCTAGGCAGAATAGTGTTCAATTGTACAAGGAAAATCTTAACTCTTTATAAAAGTGGAAGCTTGGATCTTATGTAACTAATGCAACAGGATTTAGGAAGTTACTGATGGTATGTTTCTTCAGATGGTGACTCCTAAGCAATTCTTCTGGTTCTAGGGTCATCCACATAAGGAACAGAAAGATGCTGATCAGCCCTTTCTAACACCCAATCAACCAGTCTTTGCCAAAATTTCTGGGTTTGGTATTAATTTGTTAGTGGCCCTTGATTAGAAAAATGAATAAAACAGTGAAAGTGGCACTAGTGTCAACTACACGTGGCCCTAAAACACAGTTAAGAAAAATATATGTCAAATTACCATTAGTAGTTATGAGTTGTAAACAGTGTTACCATAATGCCAAACTGGTAAATATTTTGTTATATAGATTCAATTGTTAAAAAAAATTAAGGCTGTGTTTCTAAAACTGTTTATATATATATAATAATCACACAGTTAACTTATAAAATGCAGCTTACTGGATCCAACCCTAAGCTGAATACAAAACAGAAAAACAAAGTTCATGAAACTAAAAGTCATAATAAAAATGGTAGTACATAATGAGTAAAATAGTGGCAACATTCAATGAGAATATGCATCACAACCAAGCATTTGGAAGAAAATGATTTTAAATTAGGAAAAGGTAAAGTACATTTACTAAAATTAATGTTTTGCAATTATTCAGCATCCTCTGAGGGAGGTATTGGCTTGACTTCATACCAATTGAAACCTTCATTAAAAGAGAGAAAATGTTTTATTTCATTTATTTTGTAGATATTTTTTAAAATAAGAAAACTCCCCGAAGTATTTCTGACTTTCAAAGAAGCAAAGTAAGAGATTTCCTTAGGCTCAGTGGCACACAATGTTGTAGGTGCCTGTTTTTAGGGGAATGAAGAATATAACATTATAAATAATGCCAGTTATTTGCTAACTAATATGCAATCCATAAGCCCAGAAATGTTATTACTTATACATGAGGTCAATAGTAAAGGACATTTTAAAATATTCTAATACATATTGAGCTGAATATCTTTTCAATTGAATGCTTTAAGAGATGCCCAACTACCGACCACCTAGAAAGAGACCAAAAAAAGAACTAATTTGAGAACACAAACATGAATGTATCTAGAATTATATACTTTATATTTAATATGTATTTTTACAGCAAGGTCTTAATGAGTGGTTCAAATGGTGTTGGGTCTTTTAGGAAAGAAGACATTAAGTGGTAATGTCATTTTACTCTATAAGGGGACAGTTAAAAGATTCCATAAATTGAAAACATTTTACATGTATAAATATGTAGATACTACTAGGATATGACTACTTTTAATAATACATACCATCTAAAGAAAAAAGAGTAGGGAACTCAGTCTCATCAAAGATTGGGGAAAAAAAGAATACTGAGGTTTGGGAGAAAAGAGAAGAAAGGAAATAATAACTTTCTTACTATCAACTGTTTTGTTCTTACTTTTATGGAGCAAAAGTACTATCATTAAAATTTCACATTCCTAATGAAAACTCAATTAGATTAGATAGTGATCATTACTGTGTTCTCATTCTTTGCAAAGCACTGAAGGCTGCTGTAATGATAAAACATTAATAAAATATTGTCCCTGCTATAAAGCAACTCATCATGGTCTATCTAGTGGCAAGATTTGCTTAATGACAATACAAAAAGGAATAAAGACACTCAACAGAATTTAAACAGTTCACAGAAAAATTAAAAGAAGCACAACAATTGCAGACCACTAGCTCTTAGTGTTAATTTTGTAGCTAGAGCTGTTACTCCTCAGCCTCACCAGAAGATTGAGGGAAGAATACTGTTAACTATATGGGATCAAAGTACAGACCAGAAGTTTCAAAGTTCCTTATAAAAACTTCAAACAAACTATCTTTTAAGCTCCATATCTGCTCCTACTCCATCATTTGAAGATTTGGTGGTTTCTTGAGCAGCCAATTCCTAAGCTTTTCTGGAGTTCTTCACTTTTTTAGGTAATTTCTAAATGGTACACCCTCTGCCATCATTTATCTTGCAGGCACTTAAGTACCTTTTGTCTGTCAAGTCCTCTATTTATTCCATATGTTGAAGTTTGTATACTGGACTTAAGATGGCCCCTAGCTTCAATGAACATGATGTTTCTGTTTGTTGTTCTTGTTTGGGTTATTTTTAAAATGAAACTAGAGTGGAAATGACTTAATTTTTTTTAATATCAAATCTATCTTGATTACTACAATTTTGTTACTAAATTGAAATTAAGAAAAATATGAACAGGAGTGGAATTTTTTTGCTATTGAAGATTGAACCCAGGTGCACTTAATGACTAAGCCACATCCCCAGACCTTTCTTCTTTTTGATTTTGAGACAGGGTTTAAATAAGTTGCTTAGGGTCTCACTAAGTTACTGAGACCGGTCTCAAACTTGCAAACCTCCTGTCTCAGCCTCCTTAGCGCTGCCACCAAGCTTAGCCAGAGTGAAAAATTTTAAATTAAAACTATAAAAATAAATCTTTCACAGACACAATTTTGAACAATGGAACACACAGAGGAGGATGTTTGTGGGTTAGAAAAGCAGGAAGTAACTTTACAGTTTTATTTCAGTCATCTGAAGTAGTCTGCCTGAAGTAAAGTACAAAGTTACTAAACCACAAATGATTCAAACCTTCACAAATATGGTGAACTCTTCCACTTTCTCATTGGCTAATAGCAATTTCTTCTGTGCACCTTCCAGAACCTGCTCACTTTGTAGTGCTAATCCTTGAAGTTGTTTAGATGCTGCTGTTTCAATTTCTGCCATTGCTGATTCAGTCTCATTTATTTTTGAGAACAGGAAAGTAAGCTTGAGATCCTGCAAAAATCAGTAATTATAAAATAAAAAAACATTTTTTTCATGAATAAATTTGGAACAGAACAGTTTATACAAGTCAGATACGAAAACTATTTTATTACTTCATAGATTATTTATTTTTATTTGGGTAAAATTAGTGGTTGTTTTTGTTTGTTTTCACTAATAAAGCATTATATTTAATGTTTAGTAAATTCTTGGTATGTCTTATACAGATACGATATTCTTTGCAGTTATATGAAATTTTTCACTATCTCATGATAGTTTGGGGAGATAAAAGTGACAATGTTAACAATGAAAAAGACATCATTGTATTCCATACCTAGACTAAAATGTCCTAAAAGCATACCTTTTTTTCTAACTCCTCTTTAGTTTTCTGATACATCTGTTCATACTGTGACTTTTCTTTTACAGCAACATTAAGTCTCTGCTTTAGTGAATCAATTGATACCTTCTTATTGGAACATTCTTCAGTTAATGTCTTTACCTACAGTAAAAATACAAAGATAATTATCCTTGGTAAAGTCATTCTAGTACAATACTATATTTGTTTAATCAGCAACTAAATTAATGAATGAATGAGTCCACTTACATTTATTGTCTCATGAAATTGTATCGAATTCAAGAATTATACTTGCAGAACTCATTAGCAAAACTAATAATTCTTAAACCAATAACAAAAATCAAAATCATATAAAAATGTAAAAATATATATAATGGAGTACTAAATAAAAACATATTTATTATATATTTCAAAGAATAACAGGAGAAATAGTTTTTCTTTTTCAATTTAATGCCACTAAAGATAAATGATTACTCAAAGATTGTAAAGAGGTCTATCTGAAATGATTACTGAAGATAAAAATTTAGCAAAATTCAAAGGATAACACTGAAAACCTGTAAAAATTATCATTTATGTGGGTGATGAAGAAACAGAAATAAAATCCACATGCATTTTTCATGTTCATGTAAAATTTTCTCTCTTAAATCATATGAGCTGCTAGATACTTAGACTTTCAACTTCAACAAGGAAAGTAAAGGAGATGCTCTTTCAGTAGTGAATAACATTCAGTGAAAGCCAAAGCAAAGACTGCTTTATGAATTGTGCAAATACCACCTTTCTTGTTTTTGAAACAAACTCTTTCTAGTTTCAGGTCACATATAACTATTTAAATAAAACTACCTCCCGATATGTGTTGAATTAATTATACAGGGGAAAATGTACACTTTGGAAAGATCTTCTCATAGTTATTGATTATCAATTTCTCAAAAAATTCAGAAATATTTATTCTATCATTATAAATTATAGTTTTAAATAAAATAAAATACTGAATGAAATATAATTATGCATTTCAGAAATATTAAAGATTTTTAAAATTTAACTTATCTTCTCATGCAATTGTTACAAACAGAAACAGAATATGTGGTTATAGTTCATGTGAGATTTTGGAATCTTGAATTTTAAACATTAGTACCTTTTTTTCAAGATTTTCTAACATTTCACTAAAACTCTCATTACTTTCTGAATTAACTTTCTGTCGAAATTTCAAGTCCTCTATTAAATGTCTTTTCATGGTTATATTCCTCTCCATTCGAGACATCCTTGAAAGGAAAAAAAAAGATATTTTATCCAGAGAACAGAAAATACTTTATCTTGCATGTCATTAAGGTTATGCCTGTTAATTTTAAAATGCTATCTGATGTTAATGAAACTATAAATTAGTAAAATAAATTTCAATGAATAAAATATTGCTGTACTATATTTTAAGTAAAATCTACAATGTGGTTGTGACTTGATTATTACAGTATAATACACATACATTAAAACAAAAGAAAGATTATTAAAATTTATAAAAACCTGGAATCATTATATTTAAATGACATTTTTGCATTGCTTAGGAAAATTGAAGTGATACTTAAAGATGATCAAAAGTTGAACAATGTTGGAAAAAAATCCTATAATAAACATATAAGTCTCATAATATGCAAAGAAACTAAAATCAGGCATAATATCTTCTTATTTAATGCCATTTGAGATGGAATTCACCTATGGGTTTAGCTTAAAATAATGAAATGACAAGTATAAAATGGTAGTGTGACAACTCCTACTGTTGTTGCTACTTCTCTCTCTACCACTAATTACACTGTAAGAGTGACAATAATTAACATTTATTATTATTTACTGACTGGCTTATTATATGCCAGTCACTATTGTAAGTGCTTTATATGTGTTAATTAATTTATTTCTTCTAAGAGCCTTATGAATTAATACTATTAAATTGAGGCATAGAGCTAACAGGTGGAAAAGCCAAGATTCAAAGAGTGTTTCTCTAGAGCCCTCACTGTTAAATTATAAGCAAGATCACCTCTTAAACTACGAATAAACTTCAATATATTTTCAGTCAAAAATATTAACTAATCTTTTTGTCTAATAGTTCTTTACCTGTTAATATCACTTTGGAGTGACCTTCACCTACAATGTGGTTGGCATACAAGTATGTATATGAGGTACATCTATCTCAAATTTATCTATGATGAATGAAATTGTATGTACACATATCATCACCTATAAACTCTACTGTAGCTATAAGTGATATACAAAGAAAAGCATTTTAGTTCATTGGGAGCATTTAAAATACCTTTTAAAAATAATGATAACATAAGAGGTATCTCTCTAGTATTTTAAATAGAAACAAAAACTTTCCTTTTTCCACATTAGCTTTATAAACTTAGACATTAAACCTACTATAAATATCCATCTATATTTTTTGTCAAACATTTGCCACATTTTAAATCTTTTTATCCATAGTCCTGAAGTCATTAATTTACATTTACTCAAAATTATATATGTTTAATAAGGGAAATCTAACTTTATTCTTACCCTAACTAAAAATAGTAACCAATTTGTCATTAATTATGCTATATGCAGCATTCCTTACAATTCTATCTTATATAGGTTTAAACATGAATTAAGAAAATAAAATTCCATTATTAATGATACGTGGGTATTTTGGGGGGATGCAATGTTTAACCAATCGGACTACCACTAGGTGGCACCAAATACAATGGATAGAAATATGAAAAAACATACTTTTCATGCATTTCCTTTATGTATTCTTCTTTTGCTAGGAGTTCAGACTTCAGAAACTTCACGTTTGATGACTGCTTAGTAAATTCATTGGTTGCATTCTAATTAAAAACAGATATACCTTTCAATCTTGATCTAATGCAAAATAAACACCATTTTCAATAATAATAATAAATTTATAATAATTATGATGAACAATAATTGAACATTAAAAAATTTTAAGTGCTTTTATATTTTCTAATAGACACAATACTAAAATGTTTATATGGTATGCCAGAGTATAGAGGAAAACAATCATATAACAAATACAGAGTTCATGCTTCAAATACACTTATAGGAAATATGAATTATCCTAGTGAAACATAAATGTATGAGTAGGAACTTTGATGACTTAATAATATCATTTAAAATGAATGCTGGACTTACAAGAAACCTGAAATAGACTAAATATGATCACAAATAATTTGCTGCTTTTCCCATCTAGTGGTGGGATTTATTTCTTAAGCTATTTGATCTAGTCTGGTCTATTATCAGTTTTGACCAGAAGAATTTGTCAGAAATGACGCAGCAAAGTCTTGTGGCTTTCACCCTCTTGGAATGCTTCTGTGGGATCCCTTTGCAAGGAAGACACTTGAAAGGCCATGTGAAACAGTATAAAGATATCCCAGTTGACAGCCAGCAGACAAAGTGACTAACCTGAGTGAAACTCTTTTGGACCTTTCAGCTAGGTAAATAAGTGTTTGGAATAGTTCTTCTACTAATTTTCTAAACTATAATAAACTGTTAGAACTATTCCTAGGTTTGGATGTTTGTTTGATTAATGGCAATTTTTTTAAAGTATGAAGTTATTAATCACACAAGAAAAGTGAGTTAAATTCATCACACCAACTTTGAATATTACACTACCACAGCACATGTGAATTTAAAATTTGAAATAATTTAATTTTTACATGAAATTTAATCTTAATTTTTCTTAATAACCCAAAGAGCTACCTTACCATGTACCTATTTTAAATGTTACAAATTTTTATGTGTTTACCATAACCTAAATTTTTACTATATTTTGCATGTTTACAGAGATATTTACAATGTCCTGTTTCTAGGACTGCCATAATCAGGTACGACACACTAGTGAATTTACCAAATAATTGAAGCTTTTATTTAAACACTTGATTTTTTTATCTTTGATTTTTTTTCTGAAATGATTGTTCATTCAGTTAGAAATATGAACATCCATGATTATGCTAAAATGATGTTATAAATATATATTTTCACTATATTAATTATATATTAGTATATACATTATCTCTATACTATAATATAGTGATACCCTTAAGAACTAGTATAGTAAAAATACTCCTACTCTAAATGGTCCCCAACTCCTGTTTTTCTAATTCTCTATTTACCTTAACTTTTCATATTTCTCTTTTTCCTGTCAATCTGCTGCTTCTACCTTTTTGCCTGTCAATATTCCTGCCCCAAACAAACATCCTGTTCCTTCATATGCATATTTCTAAGTTGATGCTTTTAAAATATTTTCTGCTGACACATGAAATAAATAAACATGAAATAATGAAATAAATAAACATCTAAAATAAAAGACAACAGATAGTAAAACAAAAGTCTGATAGTATCTTCAGTGGAATAAATTAAGTGAATTTTAAGATAGCTATTCTACTCATTTCTGTTTTTAGACTTAAGGCTGTATTTTATGTGGCTGAATATGCTATACTTATAAGAGTTCTAGAAAACAGAGGGATTACTGAATTAGGATAGATAAAATAATGCCAGCTTGATATACGATTTTGCCAAAATCTTTAAGTCTGACAGCTATTTCATTTGATCCTCAAAAGTCCTTATGAGATAAACAGAAAGGTATTTCTGCTTTAGAACATTAGAGTAGTTAAGTAATTTCTTTGACCAGGCTCCACAAGAAGTTAGTGGAGAGGTAATATCAGAATCCATCTTATAGGGTTAAATGAAAATTATTTGGTTAGTATTTGTAAGACACTTAGAATAGCCTATTTATAGATTGTACAACAATAGTTTAAAAACTAATGTCCATTATTTTTAATTTATATGCAAACTGGAAGATAACATTGTACATATCACAAAGAATGGTCTTTAACAATCATAAAGTAATAAAAAATCATAAATATAAATTTAAGTATTATTTAGCCCATATTTTATAAAAAACTATAAAGTAAATATAAAGAACTGATTATATATTATTCACTAAAAGGAATTTGTATATTGCTAACATTTTATTACCTATCTATATAAAGCTGGGTCTTTGAGAAAACATATATAATATGAGCAAAAATGAAGATACAGAAAATGCTTCTGAGCACTCTAATTATATTAAGTGAATCAAGGACATCTGAAAAGTACACATAAGAAATCACAGCCAGGTGCAGTGCAGCATGCTTGCAAGTGAAGCAATTCAGAAGGCTGAGGTAGGAGAAACAAGTTCAAAGCCAACTTAGGGAGATCCTGTCCCCAAATAAAAAAACGAAAAAGGGCTGGATATGTAGTTCAGTTGTAGAGCACCTCTGGGTACAATCCATTGCACCCCACACCCAAAACTATATCTCTACATATTAATTGAACAAAATAAAAAAAAATGCCATGTGGACCTTTAAGAGATTTAAGTCTAATCAACTTTCTCAACTAAGTTTAAATATATATGTTAGAAAATAAGCTACTTCTTAGATAATCACTGCATTCACAGTTTGAGATCTGTGTTGAACTATATCGTGTTCCCCTAAAATGCATATGCTGAAGTCCTCACCTAACCCCAAGGACCTCAGAATGGGACTATGTGTAGATATAGGAACTTTAACTATATAAGATATAATATGAGGTTTTAGGGTGGGTCCTAATACAATATTACTGGTGTCTTTATAAGAAGAGGAAATTAGGAGATGGAGATGCACAAAGGGAAGATCACATGAAGACAAAGGAAGCCATCTACATGGCAAGGAGAGGCCTCAGAAAAGTTTGACCTTGGAGCTCCAGTTTCAGAACTGTGAGAAAATAAATGTTTATTTTTTAAGCTACCTCATCTGTGATATTTTGTTATGGAAGCACTAAGGAACAAATATATTGAAACAGAAATTTTTAGTAGCAGAGAGTATTATGTACTTAAATTTCTTTTAGGAAATTTCCATTTAAAAATATGAAACAAAATAAAAGTAAATTTTTTTTTTTAAAATATTTATTTATTTATTTTTCGGTGGACACAACATCTTTGTTTGTATGTGGTGCTGAGGATCGAACCCGGGCCGCACGCATGCCAGGCGATCGCGCTACCACTTGAGCCACATCCCCAGCCCGAAAAGTAAATATTTATCTTTTTTGTTTCTATATGCCCTGATCAGTATTCCAAGACCACAGGTCAGATACAGACAATTAAACAAAACTGTTTTAGGTATTCTCGTTTCACTTTTCTGACTGATACTTTCCTTCAAAACAAGATAAATATTTATATGTGGGTAAAAACTTATACTATGGAAAATTATATTGTAAATAATTTACACACATTCAAGTAGGTCTATTTTCACTCAAAATTATGTTAGACCATTTGTTTCTTTTATTTTTTAATTGCTTTCAGACCATCTATAGCAAGTAAAATCAAATAAATCAACTTAAAGGTATTAGCAATTTTTTAAAAAACTGTAAAAGTCATATAGTACAGGATCTAATATTCAATTTTATCTAGGTGAAAATGACATATCAGGATCATGAACACTTCAAAAGAATCACAGAATTATGAATTAGAGTCTACGTAATACATAAGACCAAAGACTATCTATCTCAATGATTTTATCTTCTAGTATATTAAACCTAAACACTAAAATGTTTGATTTAAATATTTTATTGCACCTTTTCAAAGACAAAAGCATCTTTTAAAAGATACATGCCCCAAAACTTTCACAATTATTTTTTCTCACATTTCTAATTTTATATAAGGTATTTAAACATAAAATGTTGTTGAGGCAAGTTCTATATGTAAACATTGTCCAAGGATGGCATTTAAGAAGTATCCAAATTAATGCCAGTTTTGTAAATGATTATTTCTAAGAAAGCAAAATATTTTCAAGCAAAGATGCACTCATTTATTTTAAATTTTATCTTATTCTTAATCCTATACTAAAATATCATTTTTTGGTTGAAAATGAGTCTGTTCCACAATTCAATAAGTCAATATAATCTTAACAGTAATTCTATTTTTAAATGTACACTGTGCATTTACAGTAAGATATTTCCTTCTAATGACTCTCATTGTAACTATGGTCCTATATAACACTGCCTTTGGCTTCCAGCTACCAATTCCCACTGAAGAACAGAATTAAATATGTAAAAAGCAAATGAACTTGTTTTAAGCAGCATGAAAATTAACTCTCCAATTAAAACTCATCAATCTTGTTTCTTACAAGGTAATTCTATTTAAAGTAAGGTCAGCCCCATTTTTAAACTGTTGACAAGTTTTTCCTCGACTTAAATATAATTCTTTATAAACCAAAGGATCACAGCTTTTTATTCTCACACATTTAACTTATTGAAATATACTAAACCAGTCCATCTTTGATTTCTGCTTCTTCTCCCCCTGTCTACATCTCTTCTCCTTCTCCATATCCTATCAAAAAGGACCAAAATAAAATAGTAACATGTATAGAGGAGAGAAATTAGGTATACGTTGATACTATGTTTGAGACAATTCTGTTTAGTCAGAGGGAGACATTGGGGGCAGAGAGGAGTTGAATATTGGAGAAGAAGTTTCCATTAGCTCCTAAGTTACGATTTCAGGGTGTCTGGTCATTTTTTTTTTTTTCCAGAGAACAGTACTATGAGTTAACAGATAAGAATCTATCAAACTAAACCTGAATGATAAAATAAAATGTAGTATTAATAATTTTTGGATGCCATAATTTACTTTTATTAGAATAAATTACAGTTGATATAAGCTTGTCTTTAAGGATGTTTTCATATTTAATAAACTTTAAAATCACCTTTAGTTTACACTGCAATTGCTTCATTTCCAGATCCATGCTCCTTGAAGGACTCAGTGATGTAATGTGTATCCTAGGAGTTGTTATCCGGGAAACTTCTTCTGCCAAACTTGTGATTTCAGATGAGGACTCCAATTTCTTTAGTAAATCTTCTTTTTCCTTCCGAAGCTCAGCCAAATCCAAATTTAGCTTCTTTAAAATAAAAAAGAAAAAGAAATATAAATATAAAGGTAAATAATCATTAATTCAATGATTTTCAGCATAAAATCCTACAATAGGATAATGTTGAAGAAAACAATTATAAAAGGTTATAAAAATTGCAAAAATTCTAACTTCAATTAGCTTTTGCTTAAGTTTGTGGGCTAGTCAAGTGAAAACAATATGCATTTGCTGTACTCAATAACTTCTGGTTGGCTGGTCTTTACTCAAGAAGTACTATTTCTTTGTCTTCACAAATACATGAGTGAGCCAGAGATTCACAGGGTCAATGTACTTAACTTGGTAAAAGCCAAGCTAGAGCAGGAAAGGATAACAGATATTAGTTGTTTATTCTACTTAATAGATCTTACTACTCTCTATAGTAGCCAAAATATTTCTCATGTAGTAACATAAACTTTAAGTCCAATTAACAGATGAGTCTTGTTAGGGATTTATTTCAAATAGCATGCAAAAAAAAAAAAAAAAACTTGCTTAATATAACGTACTTGGTTGATAGCTGACAAGTCCTGTTTGTAATGTGGACACAGAACTGCACTGAACTTCTAATATTTGAAATTTTGATAACAAATATTTTGCTAAATGATATACTAATAATATTTTTGAGAAGAAGTGTAAAACAAAAAACTATCTTATGTTAGCCCTGCTCTTTTACCAATCTATAGTCTTCAGAATGTCACCAAACTAGCAGCATAACAACTCCAAGATCCTTAAGAGGGTAACTGCATGACTGATTTATTATTCCAAAGAAGCTTATAATATGGTAGTTGAACATAAGGAACAATTAGACAAAATGATCCTGAAATCTCTCGTGAGAAAAAAATGTTTCTTTGTTATGAATTCCAATTAGAAACAGAAAAAGATGTAGCTAAAATATATGGTACTATAAACATGGGGCATAAGTAATTTACGTATTAACACTGTTTTTAAGCATAATATCTAGAACCCAAATAAATATGTATTTGTATACACATTGTGTATAGTTAAGAATGAATATTTCAGATCATGGATTCAGAACTAGGGCTTGATATATTTGAAATAAGAGTATGTCTTGGTGAAAAGACTATTTATTTGGCTATATTTTAGTTTATGATCTGTATGTACAGTTCTATAGATTTTCAGTAAATATTTGTTCATGAATTGTCCCAAAGGTACCTCAGTAATTAATATCTGAATGTGAAATCACAATTTCCTTAAATCTGAAAATCTTCTGGGTTACCATTCAAGCTTGAATCTACCTTTCCCTATTTATTATTCCTATGTCCAAGCAGTTGTCATGTTCTATAAATTATACAGTCTCTTAAATTTGTATTCTATCTGTATTCTCTTTCTGTATTCACTCAATGGAGATTCTCATTATCCTACTGAGGCTACTGCCAGACCCTCCCTCTCCCCAACTCCATCTCACTTTTTATACAACTTCCTACTACAACTTTCACCTGTTATTCCTTCGTTCAAAGGTCTTTAGGGGTTTTTCACCCCAATGGAATAAAACTCATATATCTGTAGATAATAAAGTTTTCTAAGATTAACTTAGTCTTGTGTTTGTCATGTCACCTGAAGCCAAACTTGCCTGCCATTTCTGCATCAATGACTACACATAGTGTTTCCTACAACTGAAGGATTTCTCATCTTTGAAGGGCAACTTAGTTTTCCTTCCACACAAAGTCTTCTTTGTTCTTTTCTTCTTCTTTCTCTTTGCTCCCATAAAACTATGCATGTTCCTTGTCTATGAACACTAGTAAACATTAAATCCTTCAAGGAGGATGCTTTTGACCACCTATGTATACACCACAATATGTAAAAATAATGCCTTAGGTATAAAAAGAACCAAAAGAAAGGTTTCCTATTTGTAGTTCAGATATGCTGTAAGGACACATCAATTACAGCTCTTATTTACAATCTATTTATAACCATATAAATTAAAATACAGTTCATTAATAATGTAGTATTAGTTAAGTTTTTACTTTGGCAGCATATACCAGAATATTTCTGAATTCTGATGTTAACACTCTGCATTTAAATTAGACTTTTCAAGATTTCAGTTTGGAAAGATGTAACTCATGGCAGCAATTGCAGGTAGAATCTCAAACAACACAAGAAACTAAAATCTGGTGAGTTTCTTATCTCCTTATAAACAGATCTGGGTGGCTTTTCTTATTTTCCATACTCCTATTTTCTGTCTATTACTTCCATGATGGCAGATATTAACACTATAATATGTCTTTATTGAGGAAAGACCAACCTCAAAAAAGTATTTCTCTGAAAGACATACATATGTAAATTTTACCATCATCTTAACAATACAAAAATCATTAAATAAAGAAACACTAAAACTATGGAGAAGATAGAATTACTTGTACTTTATTAAAATATAATATTTTGATTAAAGGATACTTAAAATCTTTACAATCTTTAAAACATTTCTAATATTATATATGCATAGAAGCATCTGTTGAAATGGGAACTATACAAACCATTTATTCCATCAGTTTGAAATTTTTTGTTTATCCCTTAGAATTTTGGACAAATAATGTGGGCTCTATTATTAATTTCTCTCAGTTTAAGAATTCTGTTTCTTATTTGAGAAATGCTATTATAGAGAGAAGTAGTATAAAATCTTTCTTTTCCTTACTCTTGTTTTGGGCTGTGATACTACTTTTGTGGGTGATCTTGTTAGACTGAGATTGTGCTGTAAAATCTACTAATAAATTAAGATTACCCTTAAATTATTCTTTTTATCAATAGAATGATTCATATTTCTTTTATATTACTTTTCCATCACCAATCAAAGTTTTTAAATTTTTATGTTACATTGTATTTAAAAGAGACATAACAAAGCACAGATGGAAGAGTCATAATTTCCAGATTCTCTTTCTCTGGAACTGTTACTTATCAACCAAGTGGACTTAAGCAAGTATGTATCTTTGTTTCCTCCTTTAAAACAAAGAGGATGTTGCTTACTTCAGAATGGTAATTTTGAAGACAGAATTTTTAAAACATCTGTGATAGCACCTGGTAGATTTTAAATCTGAAGCATTATTGGTAGCATTATTTTATGGGAAATGCTACCCTACAGAGTCTGAGACATATCTTAAAGATGAGGACATAGATTAATGAAAAAATTGTTTAATATATGTATATAATTATCCTATAATTTCTCTCTTGACAGAAATTGTAGTTCATCTTAAGGCAGAGTTACTTGTTTTACTAGGATCAATTTAGGATCTCTGCTAGGCTACATGCTTATTGATGCCAGATGTGCTCCTCTGACTCTGTATGCTCAGTGCTGCAGTCTAAAAGACTTTTTAAATTTAAAAGTTTACTTCAGTAAGTACTGAAATTTGTACTGATTTATGTATAGTCAGTTATTTCTAACCAATTATAAAATAGAACTTAATACTACAAAAATTTAAAGTAGATAATACTAATTATTTACATCTTAGAACTTTAGGATGGGACTGGAGATCATTATGTTAAGTGAAATAAACCAAGCACAGAAAGACAAGCACTTCCTGATCTTACTAATGTTTGGAATCTAAAAAAGTTGATCTCATAGAAGTTGGAGTAGAATGGTGGTTACCACAGGCCAGTGAGAAGAATGGGGAAAAGTTTATCAGTTAATACTAAGTTATAGTTATGTAGAAGTAAGAAATTTTTGGTGTTGTATATTGCACAGTAAGGTGACTATTTATTTATTTATTTATTTTTCTTTGCCCATTTTTTATTTGTACATCACAGTTGTATATTATGATGGAATTTGTTACCTGTTCAGACATACATATGACATTATAATCTGCCTGATTTTAGATAATGATAATATACTATATATAAACTAGAAGAAAAATTTTGGAATGTTTTCACCATAAAGAAATGATAAATGTTGGCAGAGACAGACGTGTTTAAGCTGATTTAAACATTATATAATGCATATATGTATTGGAACATCTCATGGTACCTCATAAACAAGTAAAAATTCATGAATTTATGTAACAGTTATAATTTTAATTTAAATTAAAAATAAATAAAATAGTGATGAACTATAAATCTCTGAAATGTACATAACTCTCTAAACAAGTATAAGGAGAAACAAGAATACACATACTGAATATATTACTATTCTTCAGTAGTGATTTCTGTGGTAGACACAATTTTCAGATGACCACCAATGACCTACTTCTTGCTATAATATCTTCCCCTTGTATGCAGGTGGAACCTGAGAATAAAACAGGCTATTACCACAATGATAACTTATACTAAAAGGAGACTCTGTGGTGGCAATTAGGATTCTAATCAAGTCACTTTAAGATTACCCTGCCTGATTATAACCTTATGTGGTAAGCTCTCTTGAAGATGATCAGGGGCCTTCCCTGAGAGAGATATCCTCCTGGTAGCCTGGAAGAAGTAAGCTGACATGTTATGAAGGAACCACAATGCAAGAATCTAAGGGAGGCCTCAGGGAGGTGAGAATGCTTCTTGGTTGGCAGCTAGGAAGAAAAGAAGGGCCTCAGTTCTATATCCATAAGAAAGTGATTTTATTTTTCAAGAAACATGTGAGTTTAGAAGGGAAGCCTAAGGTATAGAAAGGAAGGCAGCCTTGATGACACACTGATTACAGCCTGTGATACTCTGAGCAGAAGACCTGCTAAGGCGTACCAGACTCCTGACACGGGAAAACCAGTGGTAATGAAAGTATATGTTGTTTCTAACTTGCTTAGTTTATGATAAATTGTTATGTAGCATAAAAAAAACTAGTGTAAGTCATAATTTTTAAAAAATCAGTCCCCTGTTGAGCCTGTCCTTTGTTCCCTTATTCCCACCCTGCCCCACCTCAAGCAAGTATTTCAAACCCTTTGGTGTATGGTTTATATAAGCCTCACTGTGGATTAATTTTGTTGCCTCGTCCATAATTTTGTATTAATTTTATTTTTGAAATTTTTTGAATATTCCATTTTCTATGCTTAGAAATATAAACT